CGACCACCACGTTCCAGATTCGTTTTTGCTGCTGTTGCACCCGCCTCTGAAAACGATTCACGTTCGCTATCTAACAATAAGATAAACGAAACGACCACTACACATTACACAACTGAATAGGCATTCAAACTCTCAAATCTCACCGGAATGCTACTCAATAGATCGAAATATACTTGTAATAATGATCAATTGTGACAAAAATTATTTTTCTTCATTGGTGACCAATGAATCCTTCATTCAAACCATTCGTTGTACTCAGGAATACGTGAAAAAAAAAAACAAAAAACATATCCAATCAACTAACCCGTCGATGACGATGATGGCAGTGCACTACTCAATGTTGATGCCGATGTTGTCGGGATGCTTCCATCAGCTCCTCCAGTTTGCGATTTCTGAACGATAGATGAATCGTGTGTTGAGTGGTGGTGACTTGAAGCCGCTAGTGGTTCTTTGGTTGTTGAACTTGAAGGCTGCGGCGGCGTAGAAGTTAGCTGCCGAGATGAATTTTCCGCATTCAGTCTCTCATCGACTAGCTGAGTATTCGGGGTTCCTGGAGAATCGGACGACAGTGAAGTGGATGAGGCGTGCTGCTGCTGAGCAATAGCGTGACGTCGTTTCAGGATACCGGTCACAGACGGATCGCGCTGTAAATCACAAATACGTAAATACTTTATGTTCAGCAAAATTTAGCATTCACCAAATAACCATGAATGCTAAATGTAACTATACGTTGAAAGTTTACTGATTGCGAGATATAAAATTATCAAAGACACATCAACAATACAAAGAGATATCTTCAAAACTGCTTTGACTCTAACTCCAGACAATTCAACCGTTAGTGTAAATGGTTTCAAGAGAGGAACTCGCACCTCAAACTGTATGACCGGTATGCCGAGCAAAGCATCGGAGCGCGGTGGCAGATCAGAGATTGGCGTTGGTCGATAACCACCGTTCGTAACGTCTTCAGTTTTCGTCGTTCGTCGACGGGATCGTGCCAATTCATCCTGCAATTTCAGTTGCGTTGATCGTTACGTCTCAGCAAAATTGTGGACGCAAATTACGAATAATTAAGAAGATATTCAACGATTTCTACACTCAAAAAACCACACTCAACACACTGATCGCGAGCTTAATTAATTGACTGTTTCTTAAAAGAATGAACGAATAATAAGTATTCACTATTGAACGACGGTTTCCATGCCCACTTGCAGCTGAATGCTTTTCATGAGACGAATGTGATTGATGCGCCGCCGCTCTATTACCATCGTGATGACTTTTCAAGTGATGAGCACTGCTTGATGACAATATTTCCGGATGTGATCCAACAGCAGTCGCCTGAAGCAATGTCAGAATATCATCAAAAACAATCGATCAATTCAGTTTGAGGTTTCCAAAATTAATACATTCCAAAGTTTTAATAAGAATAGCCACTTGATTAGCCCCAAATATTTGACGATGAACTAGATCTATAAGATTATCTAAGATATCTTTATGAACTCTTATTTGGGGATTATTATTGTTTACAGCGAAAAACGACATCAAACAGGGTCGAAAGTGCATAAACTCTCAGTGACGCATTATTGCAAGTTTGAATAACCTACCGTCGATGATTTTTGTGGTTGCGATTGAGTATCTGATGAATTGGACTGCTGCTGTCTCAAGTGCTCATTTTCATCTTCATTCATTGGTGACTCTTCAATATCCATTGGTATTGGCTCTTGTTGAGATGGCTCCGTGTACTGTACACACTCTGAACGAAAACAAATTTCATAGATAAACAAAATAAGATAATCAGGATTGAAAAAAAAGTAAAACTAAATGAGTTCCAAAATTTCATTATTCAGGAACAAAAGTGACACAGAATAAAATAGACACAAGAAAGAACCTTCTTGAGTGCCCTGCATCGTCTGATGAGGTGCGTTAGCATCAAACGGTTGAGAGGCGCTGCTACTGGATGGAGAGGATGAGCTGTGAGCGTGATGAGACGCAGGAGGGAATGGTGGTCTCGGTAGAAGAGGAGGCGCTTTCTGAGAAGGGTTGAAACCACCAGTA